AATCCCTTCGAAAACCCCTCAAAGAAGCCGAGACCTAAGAAATGAAGCATTTTCCCTTGATGCATATCAAATGAGTAATTTCAGCTGCTTGAGCTTCCTCAGTCCAAAGCTCCTGAGAAGCCGTAAGTTCACTGCATGATAACAAGGTCCACTTTCCAAATAACCAACATAAGTGCAATCAGCAACTCGCTTTGCATTCGGCCAAAACAGTTTTTCCATGCCACTTAGTCTTTTCTTTGTTTCTCTCTCTCTTACTATTGTTATTATTATTATTATTATTATTATTATTATTTTATTTTATTTTTTTTTTTTGCATACCACCGAATGCAAAAAGCTTCGTGAATAGTCTCAACCTTTGAGTTCCATTACATACCTAGCTCAATTTTTAGCGGCTAAGAGTATACCTCAGTGTTCTAGCTTTCTCCTCAGTGATTCGTCATCTGAAGTCGGCTTTGGAAATTGTAACTCCCAGGTGACCTCAACAAGTGTTTTAATTTTTGAAAAAGAACCTCGGTCAGTAAGTCCATCTCAATGAAATGTTCCGTTTCGCATTTCTAGAGCGCGGGGAAATTGTTCAACCAGCTAATCATAATGATTATATGTAAGCGTGCTGTGTTGTATATTTCCAATTCTATTTCCAGGTTACGGCAGTTATTTTAGTTGAACAATTTATAAAGGAAGCTTTGAAAGCAAGAGCAAGCAGGTTTGTGCATAACCCTATAGAGAGTCACGTTTGATCACATGATCATCAGGTTATGCAAATTACTACTCGCCGGCAGAGGCGTTGTTAAAATTGTGTAATTCGTACCTTTAAATAACAGAACTGTTATTTAAACATAGAGATACCAAGTACTGCAAAGTCAATTTCTTATATCGTTTCCAGCGTGTTGCTGGAGTGATAACTTAGAGGTGCAAGAATTGAAATTAAGCATGCTTGGATCTGACACTCCAATTATTTTTTATTCTCAAAGAAGAAAAAGAGAAAAAGTAAAGACTGACGTCCTCCGATTTCGCGCATTATGTAATTTTTTTTTTTTTTTGCATTTTCTGCAGCGTTTGTGCCTCTCAATTGAGTTTTTTTGTTTTGGCATTTCAGCGATCAAGATGACTTGCATTGAGAAGATTCTTCTGGTGTTTGTTCTTGTCCAAGTAGCTTGTATTCGGGCCAAACATACATTCAGGGAAGATGAATTTGCTCTAGTTGACGGCACATAGAGCAGTCTACGCAAACGAGTAAGTAAGTGGCTCTGTACTTCCTAACTTCGTTAATTTTAAAATACAATGATGTGCAAGGTACAAGTTTTTGTATACACATGGATTCTTTCATGTTCAAGGAAATTCAGTATTACACTGCATGGAGCCAACAGCTGTATGACGTGTGAAATTAAATTTTCCGCACAAGTTAGCAGAACGATATTTTAGTTAAATAATATTAAACATTCCCTAACTTTGTCACAGTCGAACTTGTAGACAAGGGGGTCTTAAAACTTTGCGGTTCAAATCGATATTTTTTAAGAGTCTTGTCTTTTGTAGTTGGTAAGTACAACGTACTACATTATATATACTACGGCTTGTGTTTCTGATCGCTGTCGTATTCTAAAAGTTGTTTTGTAATCTTCCTTCTCAAGCCGACTGTGGCAGCGGCAGTGAACCAGAAGGCGCTTACTTAAAAAAATGCCGAGTGTAAGAGTGGAGAGGTACACGTGGCAAACAACGACAATAAGTGTAGTGTGGGCCAGAAGTGCCGCTTTCAGTCACGCACGCTTCTCAACTTGGTAAGAACAAAAATACCGTAAACGACGGCCGCACAATCGAATGATATTATTCAATTTAAGCCAAACTGCATACAAGACCCGACTGAAAATCAAGATGATTTTCTATATCTTGTCTAAATACACCATTAACCAACCAACTGATGTTACCACGTTTTACTTGAAAGTTGTTTTTTGCAAAATCCAAACTTTTACGAAGTTTTAAGCCTCTCTTACCCAAATAACTCAACTTCTCAGTAGTTTTATCATTCCACACTGTCACAGCATTACATACGAGTAGCACAACCTCCTTAAATTAAGGACAAGGCAGGAAAACTTTTATCACAAATGAAAAATTACATAAAGAATAACACTATATATATATATATAAAATACACATGCTTGAACAACCAGCCTTTTAAAGGGAGCCTTAGTTGGTCAGTGTTCCATGCACCTGATGAGTGAGAACCAGCAGGTTCCAGGCCTTTTCAAAACAGTTCAGTGATGCAATATTGTAATTGCTCCTTTTCTTATCAATTAATAATTGTTTAGCTCCACAAGTGAAGAGCACTCTCCAACTCAAACACACATATATAATATACATATACCTGTTTTCAAAAACATATATATATATATATATATATATATATATACATATATGTATACACCCGTGTTCAAAAAAGTTGCAATTTGAAAAAATATGTGAAATATATACACTTTTTGTTTTTTTTAATCAAAAAGTGTCTCTTTTTGATGAGAAAACAAAAGATATGTATTTCATGTATGTTTTCAAATTGCATTTGTGAAAAGGTGTATATATATTATTCTATTTGCATGATATAAAATAAATTGTAGATCCATGTAAGGATGTCAAAGACATTGACATATTGTGGACAGGGTAAAGAGTTGAGATCTTTCGCAAAAATGTGAGTAAAGCAAATGACACAGGTAGATGTTTTTTTTGTCTCTACAGCACCCCGGAAATTGATGGTTTCTAAAAGTGTGGCCTCCATCAAGACCTGCAGTAGTTTTATTGTCACAGTATAGTTAGATTTTGAGGACAAGTTTGTGTGAACTAGAACAATAAACTGAGCAATAAAGGCAATTTGTGGAGATTGGTGTGTTAGTCTGGAGTTTATAGGTAGACCACAAAGGTTCAACTCATTACAAAGTAGTAACTATACAAGTAACAATTACGGATCAGAAAAATGCGTTCGATATAGCCTAAGTATACCGGTAATAAGTAATATTGGTTTAAAATGGAATTCAAAGTAGTAGTAATAGAGTTCCTCTCAGGCAAAGTCTAGAAAAAGAAATCCAAACAAGTCAAAAGATAATCAAACATGCAATGGCTTAAAAGAATGAAATGTGCATGTGGAATAATAATGCAACAAATTGATCAAATAAATAAGCCACAGTCATCTTTGCTGTTTACCAGTCCCACAGGTTCATCCTCTGAACACCTAAACTGAATTTAAACATATCCGCTATATCAGTGGCAGATCCAGACCTTTTAGCTAAGGGGGGAGGGGGGAACCTGATTTTTTATTTATCACTCACCCTGCCTGCTTTTCTTCCTTCTGCAATTCTCTTTTTTTTTTAACCCAGAATGAGGGGGACTGTGCCCCCCAGGTCCCTCCCCAAGATCTGCCACTGTATATTATTGAACAATTCTTTCCTTACTGGTTTTTTTCCTTTTTTTTTTTTTTGCACCCTGCATACACACGCTAGGTGGATCACATCATTCGTGCGCATTTTCCTTACTCTACTCACCCCACTGCAGATCCAGGGAGGACTATGCAGAAGGGTACTGGGGTCCAGGTGCAAGTTTTGTAACCAAAACTTGAAGCATTGAAAATTTACTTCCTCTATATATTTCTTAGCTTATTTAAGCTCTAGTGTAAAGGAAAAAAAGCTGTGTGTGTTTTTTAATCAAAGTTTTGGACCCTCCCACCCCCATATGAACAATCCTGGATTCACCCGTGCTCCTTGTTCTTCTCCACACTCTAATTGATCCCTTTTTCTCTGGAAACAAGTTTACTCAAAGGGTCTTGGAAAAAAGTATCAAGGAAGAAGACTTGTGTTCTGCAGCTTCCAGTATTCAGGGTCTCAACGGGGTTAACCGCAAGCCATAAAAAAGCAAAAAAATTTAGCTGTTGGGTGCAAAAATTGACAAATTTTAACCTTTGGTTGTAAAAAAAAAATTTATCTGTAAAGAATTTTTCTTTCTAAAATGTGTCATTTTAAGTAAGCCGTAACTGTAAAATGGCCAAAATTTCAAATGTTAGCTGTAAAAGCCATCACCCCATTGAGATCCTTAGTATTAAATGGTAATATTTATGATAATAATAATAATAATAATAATAATAATAGTAATAATAATAATAGTAGCAATAATAATATTAGTAATAATAATAAAAATAAATGTACTTCATACCTCACTTTTGAGGAAGGAGAGTTGTTTTGGTAAAATTTCCGCACAGCCCCATACTATTGTTAAACAAATCTGTTTTCCCAATGGCAATGTATTGTTTTTGTCGTTGTTTTCTCTATTCAAGAACTGAATGTATTATGTAATATGGGGCTGTGTGGAAATTTTATCGTTCTGCGGCTCCAGTATTAAATATCAAATAAATAATAAATAAGGTTCTTAACTCAGAATGTAATGCTATTCAGTTATTTTCACCCAATGCAAACTCGCAAAAGAAGGACCTTTTAACGAGTTATGTGTATCGTGAATGACACCATTCACCTTGCTACCAATCGTCTGACGGTGAACTAATCTTTCAACTCATTTGAACTCGCTTTGCGGTGCGAGATATTTAAGTTTGTACTGATTTTAGATACCATGGATGGCTTTTTGAGGTAAAAGAAATTTTTAGAACCATTAATGACAAGTGAAAAAGCTACATTTACGTGAATGGTGGTTGTTCATACACTTGAATCAGCTCTTTTCACATCAAATGTGTCCACTTCCGGTTAGGCACATTTTTTTTTTTACTTCCTGTTTAGCTTCATAGGTCGATCGATTCCTATATAGAAACTTATTTAAGAACTGGTTAAGGACATACATTTGAATGTTTGAGGGAAAAATAAAACTGGGCGAGAAATCATCGAATTGTGACAGCTTGTTAATAAAAAGTTACATCATCTGTGCAAATGTGGATCAGCCATATTAAGCCACGTGTAGGTAAGAGGAAAACTACGCATGTTCGACGTCGGCTCAGCTGACCAATCACCACTGGCCGCGTTCAATAGATTCGCCGGCATTTTCAAGTTTCCTTCAAAGAAATTTAGAGTTTCTGTTAGTTTCACCTATTTCCTAACGGAGTAATTTTCATTTATTTCAGTCGTGAGGTAGGTATAAACTTCTATTTCTTTGTCGTAACTGGTATAAATTTTAGATACGAATACTTGTCAGTGTGGTCAATGCAAGTGTTTCGTTTGGAGACTATTGTAGCTTACTTTGACATTTAATTTTTTCGTTCCTTGTGTGCCGAAAAACCCGGTTGATTATGAGATGCTCAATATGCATCCATCTAACACTACTCAGAAATTATAATACACATTTTCGTAACCTATAGTAATACAAAACGTGATGCTGCAATCTCGTGGAGTTTGTACTCGTGTACATGCACTGCAAATGATGACATATCTCAAAGAAGTCCCTTGAAAGCAGATTTATTTACGTTTGTTAAATACTAAGTTTAAAATCAGCACTGAATTTTTTCTGTCCGAAAAAAAAAAAAAAGAATTAGTGTCATATTTGGATGGCATACTCGTACTCAGGGGAAAAAAACCAGACCTTGTGTCAACTAAATATTGTCAAGGTGGCCTGCAAGCACTGTTAGCTTGTCAACTGCAGAACTGTGGTTTAAATGGGTACCACCAGTTTGCGTTTTGCATACTGAGGGTTTGAGCTCTGGTGCCATATGAGCCTTTTGGCTTACTTAGTGCAGCTGTTATCAACCATTTCACCCTCAAGAGTGATTAGAGAGGAATTCTCTTGATATTATCAATACATTTGCAAGCAAACAAGTGATGAGAAGCAAGAAGAATATCAACTGAGGGATACTTTTTGATTTATTCTGGTAATTGAACTGAGTGGAGTGCAATTTGGTGTGCAAGTTTAATTCTAAATCACATGATCTCAGACTGAAATTGTAGAACATAAAATTTAATTACCACTTCATTACTTCCTTTTTAAAATTGCAAAAATCATTCATTTAAATAAAAGATTTCTCAGTCTGTATGAATATCTTATTGATCCTATACTAAGCTAGTTTGTAAATAGTTGCAAAAGTTGTTTTCACTTTCCAACAATTTGATTGATTACTTCTGTTTTGTGTTTTTTTTTCCCTCATGGAGCAGTTGTGGACAACTCCAGTCATCAACCAATAATGTTAATTAGAAAGCCAGGAACAGTGTTATTTATAGCTGCTGTGGCTCTTTCCTTCTTTGTCTCTTCATCAGGTGAGAAATTGAACATATGTAAAATTAGAAAAATGAACTTTCAGCCTGTAATTTTTCTGCCAGGAATATAGACATCGTTTTGAAGTAGGCAGTTGCTGTAATTTCCAGCCGTTTACCTGCGGGTAATCTGTTGATTTTGCATTAAACGCGTGCCACTGCGGGTAATAGGGAGGTGCGGGTTATGTGACAATTTTAAAATTTACTGGTGGTTGAATTGAAAAAAATTCTCACCTACATGCGTTTCCACCTCTCAAATGAATTTTACTGTAGTAAGAGTGTCACAAAGCGGCATGAAAACATGATGCTGACTCAAGTTTATTTCATGCAAAAATGGTTGCATGACAAACAAATTTTTATTGGCATGTGTGAAAACAAAACTTTGATGGTGACAAAAATAATCCAAAGATATCTGGTGCATCAATGAAAAATCTCCATTTAACACCAACTTGAGCTGAAGAGAATTGTTCTGTTTTAAGGGACTTGTTAGGCCCAATAGAACCGGAGACATCTATTTTTTTCAGAAATCGCCAAGAGTGCTTTATAATTCAAGTTTTAACACTCACCCAGCTTCTTTCAACAAATCAACATGGCGCTGAACAATCACTTGCACAAAATGTGGCCTCAAATTTGCATTCTGTCAAGTATGAAACCTTGAGATTTGGGCATGGGCTGCTAGTGTTTATACTGTATAATTTCATCAATAAAGTACATGCTAATATTGACACAGAATTGTGTACAGGTCTGAATTTCTTTGACCTTTAAACTCAACAAAGAAGCTTTCAAGTTTTTGAAAGTTAGATCAGACAACTTTTAAAAGACTGAAATGTATCACCTTAATGTCACATTTTTGCCACCAAAAAGTTTAATAACATAATGTGCAGGTTATTCACCAGTGCAGGTAATCTGTTGACTTTTTTTTTTTTCGCCGTATGCAATAATTGGCTGGTGCGGGTAATCGGCTGTGCTGGTAAATGGCCGGAAATTATGGTAATAAGCTTTAGCTCCGAAAAGAAAAAGATCCTTGGTACAAATGTCAAAAATTTTATGACAGACAGAGTGGGCAAGTGGTTAAGGCACTGGTCTTGTAATCCAGTGGTCCCTCTTTCAAGCCCTCCACCCTGCTACTCACTGCATTTTTTTTTTTTCAGTGACCCTGAATTCAACTTCTCTGATGGTCTTTGTATATAGCCAACTAATTTGACTCCTGTCACTTGGGACTCTTAAACATTATTTATATATCTATTTACTATGTTTATTTCCAATTTAATGGAATTAATTATTTCTAAGTTTGTAAAAGCAGTTGAGACTTGTGAAATATGTTCTAGTACTGTTTTTGTTATTATTATTATTATTATTATATTATTATTAGAGCTATGTGATTGTCTTGTTTGTTTACAGAAAGTGTCTATCCGTTCAAAAAAACATCAGTCTGGTAATGAATAAATTGAACACTTGTAATAGGTGATGTTCAATCTTAAGGTTGGTGTGATTTTTACTTATGATCTAAATTTATAGTTTGTTTGTTGTTTCTCTTGTTAACAGATGGCTTAGCGGTGATGTCAGTGGATCTAGGTAGCCAGTTTATGAAAGTAGCCATAGTGAAGGTATGTTTTACCTTTTCATTTCCAAGATTTTAAAGCTAATTCTCCCAACAAGTAAACATACATTTCTTTAATGGGTCTTGATGAGAATTTAAAGTCATGTCAATTTGAAAGTTTTCTATATTCTTGCCACTTATCTGCTTGACAGATAAGTATTATGATTACAAAGATAATGTATCACTCCTGTGAGAGTGTGTCAACACTTTGACCTTAAGAGTGACAAGCATCTAATTTCTCCTCACAATACCACTCCTGGGTTAAACATTAAGATCACAAGAATAAAAGAAATGATTACCAGCTAAAGAATCTCTTGATTGTTAAACAAATTCTCCTTGTCAGCACCTTAGGAAATGTATAGAGAGCATTATAGAGAATACACATAATTATGTGAGGGTGTAAAGGGTTAAGGGTTGATTAGTGACTTAGTTAACCCTTTAACTCCCATGAGTGACCAAGATAGAATTTCTCCTTACAATAACAATACAATATCAACCAGATAAGTGATGAGAATAAAGACAAATATCAATTTGGGGATAATTAGTTGATCCAATACTAAACTCTCTGAACTAACAATGTAAGAATTGTATGGTTGGCAGTAAGGAGAATTACAAATTTGATGTGGGAGTTAAGGGGTTAATTTTTGTCACAGCAATTTCGCAAACAAGGTTTATTGCTTTTGAGGTGTGGAGTTGGTTTCTGTTGATCTGCTGAGGTAACACACAATCCATTGGCAGGGGTTTCAAAAAGTTTTGAAGTAGGTGTCAGACTCTGAAATAACAGGTGACTGTGAAAAAGGTAATTATTTTGTCCAGAGTAACCAGCAACTTCTTATCCAGTAGCTGGCTTGTTTTGAAACCCCTGCTCTAGATACAACTGTGTGACTATGTAGCTTCAGCAATTTCTGTGTATTTGCCAATGTCTAATTAGATTATTAATTTATACATAGTTAAATTGTGAAAATATTTCACTTTTGGTCTGTTTTAGCCTGGTGTACCAATGGAAATTGCCTTGAATACGTAAGTCATGACTTAAAATTTCAATTACAAGAAGTAAAGTTACTTAATTTGCAGTGTAAAACTTTCATCTTGCATCCTTACATAAATAAGTTCTTGCCCTGGTCACAGCATAAATCACAGCATAATTTTGAGGGGTGGAGTTGAAATCGTTTCTTTCTTCAGATCAAGATATCTCTTTTGTTATCTCGGATTCTCTCCTTTCAATTGTGATTATTTACTTCAACTGGTTTTTAGCTATGACAGATCAAAAACTAAATCAAAACTATAACAAAGTTCTTGAATTTGATTGGTTCTTTACAGCCCAATTTGAGAACTTATTGGGCAGTATTCATTTCATGTCTGTGTAACTGGAGGGTATGCGTCATGTGCATGTGCTGTTGTTGTGCATTTCAAGGAGTTCACTGTTGTTTTTTATGAAAACATAGAACCGATGGCTAGTTTGTTTCTCATATTTTGTCGTAGTTTTGGTTAATTGGAATTAACAGAACTTTGTGTCATCCAAGTCTGTCTCTAATTGTACTTATAATTGACAAATCGGATTCCCACGTCACAGTTATCCAATTTTGTTTATCACTTTTATGATTTCAGACCTAATTGGATTCCATTCAGTCCTGTCACCATTACAAAACACATTAACTACAAATTTCTTTTTTATTTTCTGTTTTAATAATGGACTGTGGATTTATTTCTACTCTAAGGGAGTCGAGACGGAAAACACCAGTAGCTGTTTCTCTAAGAGACAATGAACGATTATTCAGTGACAGTGCTCTAACCACGGTATGTTTGAAAATTCTTGTGAGAGTTACTTTCTTTGTGTCTGAGAGTCGTTACATCCAGACACATTTGAAGGCTTACTCTTGGCCTTGTATTGGTAAAGTTTAGGCACAATCTTCATATGTAAAAAGCATTTGAAAAGCCTTTGAAAATTTAAATATTTCCAGTACATTGTTTTCACATACTTTTTCAAATGGTTCTTGAAGCTTACATGCCAAAAATGAATACATGCATTGGCTCTAGAGTCTTGGCAGCAGATTGTAAATCCAGACTCCAATCCCTATAGCAAGCCTACATGTAGGGCTTGAGTGAAAGTTACCCTAATAAAACATTCTATTTTCACTTATGATTGTGATTACAGTCAGTCAAGTATCCAAAGAGTTCTTACATTTATGTTCAAAATGTCCTGGGTAAAAAGTTCAGTAACCCAATGGTAGAGCAGTACAAGCAAAGGTGAGTAGGGTATAACCTGATTCTTTTTTTTTTTTACATTTTTTACAGTGTGACCACTTTTGACAGGAGTTTCATTGAAAGCTTGTCACCAGTGCTCTATTTAGTCAATGAGCAGGCTGTCATGTTTGTGTTTTGCCGTACGGCCCCTTGATAGGGCACTGGCACAGGTTTTACATAATTGTCAATTGGTAACTTTTACTTCAAATTCAGTTACTATGGGAACCAAAATAGTTGCAACTTGGAGTGTTGTTTGTTTTGCTGATGTCAGGTCATTACCTCTTTGAAACTGGTCTCTTAACCATTTGACCTATAAGAGAGACTGGCATTCTAATTTCTCCCTAGAATATCACTTTAAAATCACAAATTAAGGTCATGAGAGTAAAGGAAATGATCACCAACCAATGAAGCTTTTGATTGTTAAGCAAATTCTCCTTGTCAGCACCTAAGGAAATGTATAGAGAACAGTATGGAGAATATGCATACTGATGTTAGGGTGTAAGGATAAATTTTTAGAAAGCTCTTTTTTGTTTCTCAGGTTTCCATGGTATGACCTTGAGGAAGATAAAGAGACTGGTATGCAATTCATTAGTTTTTAATTATCAATCAAACTGTTATGAATTTTAACATTCTGTGTTATCAATTTGAAATGACTGTGTGGTTACTTTTTGTTAGGGTTAAACATGTCCAGTTGCAACAGAGAAATCATCTCGGGTGTCCTGTTGTAATTAGTTAGACCTCTCCACCAACCAACATGAGTCTCTTCTTCGAGGTTTTATTCCAGATGTTCTCAAGAGTGAAAGTCATGCTGATGACAATTCTTTCAAATTCCCACCTGTTGGTATTTGTCTTTCCTTAAGAAACCATTGGGTCATGGGTTTACTCCATTCTAAAGCAGTTCTCTTCTCTTCAAATTGATCTAAAATTCTGTATGGAACTCTCTCAAATTTTGTACATCTTTACTTTGTTAAGGTTTTTTTGCCTTTTTTTTTAACAGGAACTGTTCTCTTCAGACATAATAGTGAGATCACCTTTAGTCCAGAAGAAATTCTTGGCATGATTCTGAATCACTCCAGAAATATTGCAGAGAAATTTGCAGGTGAGTTATAGAGATGAATTTTGAATGATGGTCTTTTTTTCCTTTTAAGTCAGTTTAAAACCATTGAATCTGCTGTTACATGCTGCACAGTTCTGGTATGACTTCTTTTCAGATCACCCAATGAAAGATGTGGTTATCACAGTCCCTTCATTTTTCAACCAAGCCGAACGACGATCTGTTTTAAGGTATGTTTTGACGTGCGTTAATTCCCTGTCTCCTCTTTTGCATGGTGCAATGCTTTCCACTCATTATTTACCATGTAAACTTGTCTTTTTCTGCTAATAGGGCTGCAAGGTTGGTGGGGCTGAATGTTCTTCAGTTAATGAATGAAAATACAGCAGGTCAGTGAAGAAAAGATATGTGAATAAGTCTTGTAACAGATAATGAAGACCTTGAGAGTACTGCTGAGTAGCTTTCACTTCAGTAGTTAAGGGTTACATCAACAGACAAAGAAGTTCCTTCAGCATAGCCTTGTACAGGATTGTCATGATTGCCTTGCAAAAGTTACAGTTGTTCAGTAGCCCAAGCTTACACTGTCTATGTTAATGTTCATATGTAGAAAATTTGTAAACAATGCAGAGCAAAGTATACTGATAGGTTGAACTACAAGTAATTTTTGGCAGTCTATTTTAACCTGAAATTTTATTTTTAAGTTGCAGCCAAAAATTACCTTATAGACAGATTGTATAATTTAAATGTAGAGTTAAACCTTGTTAAAGAGTATAAAGGGTAACACATTCAATTACTATCCAGTGTCCACCCTCATTTTAAGCACAGCAGGTGAAAGATATTTTCAAACTGGTAAAGCAATCCTTTTACTTGTTTAATTTTCAAAAGTTCCAAGTGATTTAAAGCAGTAATAAATGGCACTACTGGAGATAAATTTTACTGGCTACTGCCTGAAAAGGAGAGCACTTACCACCCAGTTAGA